CATTTTTAAAGGCTATTACATTAAATTTTGCTTTGAAGAAGTCCTCCAGAAACTGCTTTATAGTTATTTCATTTGCTTATCAGACGAAGCGGATTTTGCCACTACCCTGTGAAATATTTTGTTATTATTTGGTGCTATACGAATGGAGATTTTAAGTCAGTCAATTGTGTTTTCTTCATATACATTTTCCTGTCATAGTTTATCCACAGTATCATACGGATGTACAGGAAAAAGCTCGTCAGAGCAGTGCCCCAACTCTATCAGCCATGGTGCCATCAGGGCAGGCATAACCAATTGTGTGACCGCCTGAAATAAGAGAAAATTTTAATTCATAACTACAGTTTACAATTTAGGTATACATTTCAAGAAGTCTTGTCATATGGGCATTGATAAATCGTCTCATTTAGAATGACCTCAAGATTAGGTTTGAAGGACTTATAATAGGTTTGAAAGTAAAACACATTGGAGAGCAGCAAACATCCATATGTGATCATATGTCCCTTTCAGATTTTCTTTTCTAAAACAATTCAGATCAACCCTTTATAAAACTAAACATTTGCCCTTTTGAATATTTTTGCATTTATTATATAAAAAGTGTTGCCGAGTTGAAACTATTCAGCCAAAGGTTTCAAATGGTAATATTGAAGTCATCTTTAATAAAGTTTTACCGAAGCCATTATAATTTAGTACATTATAATTTCATTTCATATGTCAATGCAACCTCTATCAAGACAATAGGAAAAAGTTTTATGATGACATTGTTAATATTATATCATGTTTTTGTAATTTAACTAATTTTGATAAATTTAGATATTTAATGAACTGTACTGAGACGTCTGAGACTGATGTTCTCAACAGATTTCTTATATATATAGACAAATGTATCATAATCAGAAATTAATCACAAAATTGAGCACTGTCTCTTTTTTGTTTTATTTTTTCTATGTTTTCATGTATTTCAGCGATGGTCCTTTTGTACTACATTTTATACTGAATAAAATTATTTAGTTAGTTAGTTAGTTATCTGAGTTCAAGATTACCATGCAAGTTCCGCTAGTCCGACATTCCGTTGACATCTTTCAGCCTTTTTTGTGGACTTCCTGGGGTCTGGATACAATATAATATTAAATTTATGTATTTCCTACGCAGAACTAATATCTAATGTCTTGATTTAATTGAACAACAAGCATTCTTCAAATATATATTTCGTCCAAGTTCCGTTCCATATAAAAAATTCAGTTTTTTATGTTAATTTTGAATTTATTATTCATTAGATTAAATGAAGACAAATTTACCGTTATAAGGGGATTAATAACCTGGACGAGTACATAAAATACGAAACTTGGTAATTACATCTGTTTGTTAAATAATGAAAGTCAAGAATACATATGATCAAAGTCAGCAATCCTAGGAGTTTCCATGAATTCCCACCATACGTCATAAATCGGCGGTAAGCCATTTTATCAAGAAGATTTGCTAAAACAGAGGGATAATGAAATCAAGTTTGATTTAAATTTTAAATGCAACAATCTTTTTAATACGAATATGTACTAGCACTTAGTATTTGGATCGAATCAAAGACCAAAATACTGTGTGAGTCATTAGTAAAATTAGGCAAGTGATTCACAATAACATATTTGAGGCAAAAAACATCTTTCACTTGACTTTTATGTAAAGAAAACATACAGCCTTTAACATCAAAATTAAACGGTATACGGTCCGAGTACACAGTTATTTCGTAGTGCATTTCTTTTAGAGAATAAATGAAAATTAAAAAAATCCCACCTGCGCTTCCTCAATAATATTTTTACAGTGTGTTGTACTACTTTTGGGACAAATTATATCAAAATTATAGAAAACTTCATCGGCTCTAACTCAAAATATGGACAATTTCATGTTAAGGGGGTCTTCAAATCTTTTGACAGCTTCCGAAGTGCTAATTTTTAACATTTTTCAGCTGGACCAAATCACTACTTTACTTTAAAATTCATGACCCAAATTTTTTACAGTGTCATTTCACCCCCTACTTACTATTTGAGTCATAAAACATGGAGAAATAAATTTGGAAGGGGTATAAAAAAAATCGACAAGTAACACACTGTCCACACTAGGGACTATATTCGTGGACAACGAAAATCAAAGGACGATAACTGTGTACCCGGACCTATTAGGGTAGAAAAGGTTGACCAATCTTAATGAAACTTGGTATGACCAAAGCTTATTTAATTATAAGACTGCTTACAAAGTTTCATGGCAATAGGATATATATTATAGACAATATGACTAATTCTATATTCAACTTTGCGTGTTAAATTTAGACGTTAAAATTGAAAATTTTCAACTATCAACATTTGGGGCTTAAAAAATTAAAATATTGCAAAAACATACTTTTGAAATGCCTTTATATATAATATATTATATATTAAAAGCAATAGAGTACTCATTTGATTTCTCAGACTTATCATAATTATTAAAAAGTCAAATTTATATGAGCCTGTGGCTAAAAATGGAGGTTTTCCAATGAAAGGGGGCCTTACTTGAAGATGTAATATTTTCCAGCAATTTTAAATTTGTAAAGCTTTTTGGTTATAAATAATCCTTACATATGTATTTAATGTACTATAAATGGAAAGAAAACTTACAAATAACATATCACATTAGTTTAAAAGGGTCTTAGGCCAAGTAAGACTGAAAATAATTTAGGGTCAATTTAGTGTACCCGGACCTATTATACAGGCCAATATTTAAGTCTATGTGTTTGCTGGGCTTATATTTTGATAGAAATAGTCAAAATATCATTAGGTGTTAAGGAAATCGTTAAACTTTCTGGTTAATTTTGTTGAACAGTTAAACAATTAATATTACATCCCCCTAAAGAAAAATAAACTAAACTGCACTAAACAAAGAAAACAACAAAATGCACACAATATGGAACACGTGGATCCTGGAATAACCTTTATCTGATATGTTCCTGAACGAAGTTTGGAAGCCAAAAAATGCAAAAAGGTTTTAAAGCATCAAAATGGTTTAAACAGAACAACCCAAACCGTGTAAATTTACCAACCAGTTGTATTATTCAAATAATACAAAAACCGAAACACCGGGTACTCACATCGAGGACTAATAGTCCTCTAGCAGGGAGAGCGCAATTTACGTGCGCACATCGCTTGTTAATATACATATATGAATAATAGATGAAACGATTAATTAAGGAATTTACTCATTCGTTCGATCATTATATATCACAAGAATCTAAGAATTACTTATTTCTGTATGCATTGTGTCAGAATGAAAAGTCTATAAAAATGCAGAAAAATGTTTTTGATTTATAAAAAGTTGAAACAAAAAACAGACAATTGTCAGTACATTCACATTTAGTGCCAAATGTAAGTATTTATCATATAAAAGAATTTCAAATCAATTTACGACACGTAAATAATTGAAATTGACTTAAACTATGTCATTTAGTTATTTTTTCAAATTTTCTGTTCAATTGACCATTGCCCTTCATCCGAAATTAATTCATAAAACGAAGTTCATAACATAACAAAAAAAGTTGGCATGCTGTGTCAATAAACACTGTCAACGGTATTTCAATGCGCACGGTACGTGTCTTTTGAACAACCGTCGTCAATGGTTTGGGAAACAAAATAATAAATATTTTGACAGATTCGAAACCAAAAAGAGTCTAAACAGAATGCAAAAAAAACATCTTAGGTAAACATTGTGACAATGACATTAACCATCAACAAGGCAATTGGTCTAGGAAATGTAGCTCAAAATTAAGGATTAAGACAACAATTCATATTTCAGCAGAGGCGGATTTAGGGGTGGGGCAGGGTGCCCGGTCCCCTTTTAGAGCTACATTTATGGCAAATGCACACTTTTCCACTCCAAACGTTGTCTAGTTGTTTTTTTTCTTTTAAAAATCCTGGATACGCATCTGTTCAGATAGGTTTCTAACTAATTTTCAATAATTGTTCTTATGTTGTGTTGTTACATCAAAGTCCAGGTTACGGGAAGGGTTTAGCGCTATACGTTTATCTATAAGTACTTACATACGCTTCATTTAGACTCTATTGGATAGTTGTCTCATTGGCAATCATACCACGTTTCCCTATTTTATATTAGAAGTATTCTGTAAAGCATTTTTTGAAAACTGCATTTGCTTATACTCGGATCATTTGACATGGTTTGTGAAGTATCATTTGTCACCTTCACCAGTGTAATCTTCATGTAAATTGTTTCTCCCTCTGATACCATAACTACTTACAAAGATTGTTGATAATGTTTCTGTTGTACATATAAATTAGATTCATTATATTCCGTTTTTTTCGAGTTAAACGAGCACCCTATATGGTCCAAGTGTAAATTGAATTTAAAAATACATTTTGTATACGAATAAGAACAGAAGAAATCTGCATGAAGTCTATGCATTAAAAATATCCATTCAGGGTATCATGTGACCATGACCATTGAATATAACTTGGTTATTCGAAACACTGACTGACATATTTAGCCCTAATTGTTCTTGTAGAGGTCACGACACAAAGAAATGTAGAACCGTTGATGAAGAGGTGTTCAGAATAAGTTGAATATTTGTATTGCCTTTTCAATGTAACATTTCACTTCATGTAACTGTTTGTTGTTTGAAAAAGGAGTACTTACAGCAACCACAGAAAGACCGACTATCTGGTATAAATGACACGATTTGGACGATGCTACCACTGTGTCGCTGTCACTTCTTGTAGACCGCCATTCTCTTAAAATATTATTCATTTTTGATACTGGTCCAGTATTATAAATCATGTTTATTGTCACGTTTAATGCGCAGCCTGTCTTGGTATGTGGACATTGAAAGTCAAGTTTTTGTATGAATGAAATGTCGTTATACTCATTGATACAATTTATAAGACTGTTTTTGTCAGTCACGTTTGTAGTCACACTAAGTGTGCAGCCAATTCTGTTAGTAGAAAATATCTAAATGAATTACCCTGATAGACAGTATATAAATAAATATAGTTTAATTTTCTAAGGACGTTAAATTCAGTAATGACAGAGAACTTTCATAAATTCAAATCAAGTCATAAAACAGAACCTTATTCTTTATGTTAAAAATGTAACGGTTAAAAAATCAGAAAAATCGAATACTGAAACATTTCCGCAGTTAATTAATAAAATTTCCAAAAACAGCACCCTAACAATCAATGTAAAACAAACAAATGATATATGACAAATACTCCAAAAGTATAATAGCAATAACGACAGTTGGGCAAAATGACTTTATTCTATTTTCTTTGGCGTTGTGTTCTCGTTATGTTTATTGACATCAATAATTGTTGAATGACCAGCATAATGTTGAACAAAATATTTCTTTGTACCAATATAATTTTCATTGCGAATATCTTGCTGATTTTCGCATTGAGCTTTGGTCACCAGGTTTTTCAATTGTTCCAGATAGTTTTGTACTTGGTCAGTTTCGCCGAAGCATTTGTACTGATCACAATCGATTGCCAATTCTGTACAGAAAATGGCACTCCCAAGATCACCTTCTAATTGTGCAATTCTTGCTTTTGCCGTGTAAAAGAACATTTCTCGTCTAGATTCCATATCACCCATATCACGTATTTCTACTAGCATTTCTTTTGCTTCATCTATTTGTTCTTGTGATGGGTTGCGTCCTTTTATCAATTCCGTATTGTTAGCAAGCCCTAGTAAACAAAATACTTTTCGTAAAATTATCATTCGCGTCCAAAAATATCTTGTAGAATCATCGTTCTCTTGCTGTAGGCTTGATCGTGCTTCTTCTGCAATGATAACCAACTTTCCCAATAATATTCCCGACTGGTTCTTCTGGTATTTAAATAACAGAATCATCACAAACATATGGTACATGAAGTAAAGTTCTGCACATCTTGGTATTGAAAAAGACAATGTAAACGCTGTTTCGATATATTCTTCTGCCTTTGTTAGCTGGCCAGTCATCGCATGAGCAATTGCTAACCTTGAAAAGAAACCAACTTCGGCAATATTCGGGTTCGGTGTTTCTTTAATGTACCCCTTTAGTTGACAAAAAAGCCTTACTAGTTCGTTTTTGGAAGAGGAACCTGTGCGTTCATCCCAGTCAAAATCTGTATTCCATCGAGTAATTTCTGCATCTAGAGCTGCAAACAAGCAGGAAACACAAATGTTTGCATGTTTCATGATATTCTGTTTAAGTTTTATTTTTATCTCCTCATCTTCTTCTGTCTCAAGTTTTTGTTGCCATTCTTCAAATTGTAGTTTATTTGATTCATAAAGACCTCGACAAGCTTCTGTTGGGTTAACCTTAAATACATTTTTATGAGTATTGACCTTGGTGTTGAGATATATTTTTTGCGCCTGTTTAAATCCAGGCCCTGGCTCCATTTTTCGAGCTACAAAGCGAAGTATCCCCTGTCGAAACTTGGACATCAATTTGAGGGCTATAACATGAAATTTTGCTTTAAACAAGGCCTCAAGAAACTGCTCCATGGTTATTTCATTTGTCAGTCTGAGAAGGACTGCGGATTTTGACTCTTCCCTATGAAATATCTTGGTATCTTTTTGTGATGTCCGAATAATGTTTCGAAATTCAGTCAATAGTTCTCTTGATATATAATTAAGCTGCCATAGTTTCTCCACTATATCGTAAGGATGTACTGAAGAAAGATCGTCGGAGCAGTGCTTCAATTCTATCAGCCATGGTGCCACCAGGACAGGCATATTCACTTTTCTGGAACAAAAACAGAAGTATAATATTGATTCGTTATTACAGTGCTCATATCACTGCTGTTGGCGGTTTCCTCCCCGAGGGTATCACCAGCCAGTAGTATGCACTTCTGTGTTGACATGAATAATCATTGATATGATCATAACTATAAATTAACTGTTAACAAAACCTAGAATTTTTCGAAATGCTAAGGATTTGCTACCCCAGAAATAGGTTACCTTAGCTGTATTTGGCAAAACCTTTCGGAATTTTGGGTCCTCAATGCTCTACAACTTCGTACTTTATTTGTCTTATCAACTTTTTTATTAAAGCGTCACTAATGAGTCTTTTGTAGACGGAATGCGCGTCTGACGTACAACATTTTAATCTTGGTATCTATGATGAGCCTATTCATAACGGCTAACATGTTCGAAAATGAATGGACAGCTAAATATCGTTCTATTCAGGTTCACTCCGAAAAGTAAATCTAGAAAAGATCTGTGAAAGAAGCAAAATTTCATATGTCTTTCTGAGATCTTCTATTCTAAAATAATTCAGATACACCTACTAGGGTATAAAACTAAACAAGTGCCCATATGGATAGTGTTACCTTATTTAAGTTGCAGCCTGGAAGTTTTTAAAATAGGGTTTTTGAATAGCGGATTTGATGTCATTTTATCACATACTATCATAACTTGGTAGACCGCTTTGAGATATCTGAGTTATACATTCCTCTGACGTCTGACGGTCAGCCTTTGGCGGGAATTATTGGGACCATTAGACGAAATTATACTAACAACTGCACAGCACTAATAGAAATTCTGCAAATATACAATTTATCTAAGTTCGTATATTCGATTGATGAAGTATGAATATTAAATTTATTATGTTTGAAAAAAAACGGACCGCTACAATATTTTTTTTCAAACTCGAATAAAGAAATTAAAGAAAACCTTTGGTTGATATATCTGTTGGTTAATTATTGCAAGTCGAGAAAACGATCAGCGCCAACAGTCTGCAATTGAATTTTAGATCATGCAGCTTAATTGAAATCGACAATATAAGTTAGATAACAGAGAGTTTTTAAAATTATGGGATCAATAGTAGATACAATTAAGTTCCAAATAGTTGTTTGACATATAACCAAATTCAGATGCTATCACCAGAAAAAAAAACAATCATCAAATATACCTGGCTTATAAGTTTGAACGCCAGACGCGCGTTTCATCCACAAATAAAATGCTTCGCTGGGGCGCAGCTTGATACGACCGCAGAGGTCGAATCCTGAACAGTTGGGGCAAATATGGACACAACATTCAAGCTTGATACAGCTCTGAATTTGGATTGTTATTAAATATTTGACACAGCATAGGTTTCTGACACAGAAATAATGTGGTCTAAGAACTTGAATTTTTTTAATTTACCTATTATGGTCCAATGTCCAAAATCAAAATACATGGTTAGATTCAGCATATCAAAGAACCCCATATATTCAATTTTTGTTAAAATCAAACAAAGTTTAATTTTGGACCCCAACTTGGACAAACTTGAAAACTGGGCCCATAATCAAAAATCTAAACACATGTTTAGATTCAGCATATCAAAGAACCCCAAGAATTCAATTTTTGCTAAAATCAAACAAAGTTTAATTTTGGACCCCAACTTGGACAAACTTGAAAACTGGGCCCATAATCAAAAATCTAAACACATGTTTAGATTCAGCATATCAAAGAACCCCAAGAATTCAATTTTTGCTAAAATCAAACTAAGTTTAATTTTGGACCCTTTGGACCTTAATGTAGACCAATTTAAAAAAACGGGACTTAAAATTAAAAATCTAAATACACGGTTAGATTTGGAATATCAAAGAACCCCAATAATTCAATTTTTGATGAAATCAAACAAAGTTTAATTTTGGACCCTTTTGACCTCAATATGAACCAATTTGATAGCGGGGCCCACAAATAAAAAATCTAAATTCATGGTTAGATTCAGCATATCAAAGAACCCCATATATTCAATTTTTGTTGAAATCAAAAAAAGTTTAATTTTGGACCCCAACTTGGACAAACTTGAAAACTGGGCCCATAATCAAAAATCTAAACACATGTTTAGATTCAGCATATCAAAGAACCCCAAGAATTCAATTTTTGTTAAAATCAAACTATGTTTAATTTTGGACCCTTTGGACCTCAGTGAAGACCAATTTAAAAAACGGGACCCAAATTAAAAATCTAAAAACACGGTTAGATTCGGCATATCAAAGAACCCCAATAATTCAATTTTTGATGAAATCAAACAAAGTTTAATTTTGGACCCTTTTGACCTCAATATGAACCAATTTGAAAGCGGGGCCTACAAATAGAAAATCTAAATACATGGTTAGATTCAGCATATCAAAGAACCTCATATATTCAATTTTTGTTGAAATCAAACAAAGTTTAATTTTGGACCCCAATTTGGACCAACTTGAAAACTGGGCCCAAAATCAAAAATCTAAATACATGTTTAGATTCAGCATATCAAAGAACCCCATATATTCAATATTTGTTGAAATCAAACAAAGTTTAAATACTGGACCCTATCTTGGACCAACTTGAAAACTGGGCCCATAATCAAAAATCTAAACACATTTTTAGATTCAGCATATCAAAGAACCCCAAGAATTCAATTTTTGTTAAAATCAAACTAAGTTTCATTTTGGACCCTTTGGACCTTAATGTAGACCAATTTAAAAAACAGGACCCAAAATAAAAAATCTAAATACACGGTTAGATTTGGAATATCAAAGAACCCCAATAATTCAATTTTTGATGAAATCAAACAAAGTTTAATTTTGGACCCTTTTGACCTCAATATGAACCAATTTGATAACGGGGTCCACAAATAAAAAATCTAAATACATGGTTAGATTCAGCATATCAAAGAACCCCATATATTCAATTTTTGTTGAATTCAAACAAAGTTTAATTTTGGACCCCAATTTGGACCAACTTGAAAACTGGGCCAAAAATAAAAAATCTAAATACATGTTTAGATTCAGCATATCAAAGAACCTCATATATTCAATTTTTGCTAAAGTCAAACAAAGTTTAATTTTGGACCCTTTGGACCTTAATGTAGACCAATTTGAAAACTGGACCCAAAATTAAAAATCTAAATACACTGTTAGATTCGGCATAACAAATAAATAAATGTGATCAAAGATTTTACAAATCTAATGCGCCATACTGTGCAATTAAAGACTTCTTGAAATTTTTCAATATTTGAAATTTGAAAAAAAAAAATTTTTGAAGAATAATTCTTTTTAATTTCTGAAATCTGAAATGAGAAAAAATTGACCCCCCACAATTTCTTTTTATCCCCCCCCCCTTTTTTCCCCCCAAAAATTCTTTCCCTCAAGATATGGTCATAATCTCAATTCAAATTTCCAATGGAGTTGGCAACCATAATTACCCATTTAAATTTACCATAGTGCTAACTTAATCTATTTTATAATAGAATTAAAAATATAGTGTCAAATCTTTCATATGGATTTTTTTGTAAAAAAAAAAGATGCAACATTTGCAGATATTTTTACTGGTCTTCCTTTATAAATATGCATTTCTTTAAACATAATTTAAAAGCAGTGTAAGGGAAGTAACCAAAACGTTGTATTTGGATTACCTTCCTTACACTGTTTTAAATTATCTTTATTGTTCATTAACCATTACTTTATACATAATTTAAAAGCAGTGTAAGGGAGATAATTTCAATGATGTATTTGATTTATCTCCCTTACACTGCTTTAAATTATGTTTTGTACTAAAGTATTTGTCCATTAACCAGGACAACCCTGTTTTTCCCCCTTTTTTGCCCCTAATTCCTAAACGGTTTGAGCCATAACCACCCAAAGCAAATCCTAACCATCCCTTTGTGGTATGGAAACTTGTAGTATAATTTCAGAGAGATCCATACACCATTCCACAGTTATTGTCTGGAAACTAGAAAATGCTTATTTTTGGCCCCAAAATCAATCCCAACCTTCCTTTTGTGGTATTTAACCTTATGGTCAAATTTCAAAAAGATCCATTCACTTAAACTAAAGTTAGAGTGCGAAAACCAATGTGTCTTCGGACGACGACGCCGGACGACGACGACGACGACGACGCCAACGTCATACCAATATACGACCACAAAATTTTTTTGCGGTCGTATAAAAACTCATCAAAGATATCAGGCTTATAATGTTGTACGTCAGACCCGCGTTCCATCCCCACAAAAACTCAACAGTGGCACTCGAATTAAAAAATCTTAAAAGGCCAAATAAAGTATGACGTAGAAGAGCATTGAGGACCAACAATTCATAATGGTTTTGCCAGTACAACTTAGGTAATCTATTCCTGAGGTAGAACTTCCCTAGTTTTTCGAACATTTCAACGTTTTGTCGATCATATGCCGAAGTTTTTGTTAAAATCCTAAATTTTTTATAGTGGGCATACAAGAATAGAAATATCGTTTAGTACTGCTGTAAATAAAATGACTTCATTAAAAACTTTTGCAAACTCCTAAATGATTTAGATCACTGTATTTGGAAGGGGTTCCAACACTTCAAATCTACTAACTAAAACACTTTAGGTGCCGGTAAAACTATCTACTAATAAGTGAATAAAAGTTGTCAGTTAAAATGCAGTTAAACAGGAAATGAATGAAAAAAATTAGATTTTCACTTTCGAACAAAAAATGTATTAATACGAACAAGTACTGGTACTTATAAATATAATACCTGGATTTGATTAACGAACAAAAGTGTTGCCCATTAGATTCACAAAAACTTGCTGAGAGGCAAAACACACCATACACACGCTTCTGCTACTATGTAAAGACATGTTTACTTCATTTCATTGCACTATAGACTTTATTCTTTGCACCCTTAAACAGGAGAAGCATCAAGACATTGAATCTTTTTGTGGGCTTACTACTAAAAAAGAAATAGTTATGATTGGGTCTAAAGGACGCCTTAATGTATTTCTTGTTAATTTTGTTGAACATTAAAATATACTACTACTACTAATAATAAAAACTAAAAACCAACAACACAAATAACCTCCTCCCGCACAAAACATACTGTATACAATGGAAATTTACAAATGAAAAGACTAAGAATAGCATGTTGGGTTTCTGAAAATTCTCATTTAAATACAATGAATATATCTACCCTTAAATTGTGTTGAAAGTTCATGTACAAGTAAATTTGGGCTCAAAATGATCAAAATATATTTCTCAATCAGAAAAGCTATATTCATCTAACTTCATTTGCTAGTTTCAGTAAACAACAACATCAAAACCACAATTGTTTTCAATATTTGGTCCTGCAACATGTAGTTTGCTACTAAACAGGACAAATAAATTTTTGTATAAGAGTAAAACATAAAAAGTATTGGTGGCTGCATTGCAGGGCACAAGCCACATGATACTTAAACAATAGTCATCAGGTACAGCTTGGAAAGCAAAATGAAACATTTTTTGTAAGAATTTAAACCAAACGAGCATAAACAGGATTTAAAAATCATCATACGTATACTGCCCTCTAGGCAGTTGAAACCACATTAACATCTACTTTTAAAAAGGTTACGGGTCAAAGGTATTCAAATTCCAAATTTTGACAGCTGTAAAAGAAAGATATTGATATTTAGATCGGTTTAAAATCAGTTGGAATTGTAATTTTAGAACATTGTATTTGTTTGAAATTTGATCAACGACATGGTTTGTGTATTATCACTTGTAGTCATCCCCATTCTATTCTCCGAGAATATTTTTCTACTAACAGTATACATACTTGCCAGATTCTTTATCAGCTTTTTCGGATTTTTTTTACCTAAGTAAGCCTAGATATAACACAAAATAACAAAACACTAAATTGTTTTTTTCTTCTATATAATGTGAGGAATTTGAACGCTTGAATGGTAAACTATAAATATACAGAATGTAATTGGTTTATATTTTAATTGTTACCACAATTTAGTGATTCTCATATTTCGTATGCTTTATATAAACATTATCATGATATCAATTACCATTGACGTTACGTGCAACTCATTTATTCATATCATTTCATTTTACAAGTTTCACAAATGACTTGGATTTGAATGTTAAAAGGGAAACCAATTGATAAGAAGAAGTTGAATGTATATAAAAATTATTATATCGTTAAGGGTTCTGCTGAACCTTGTGTCTCACCTGCGATTGGTGCTTTCAGAGTGAAAGTATAATATTGACTAACTAAATCGATTTATAAATCCTTATATCAGTAAAAGCGGTGGTAAAAGACCGGTTGTTTTCTTCAGATGCTATTACAGGATCATTAAAAAGCTTTTTTTTTTTCTTTGCAACCTTAAGCAGGAGAAAATATCAGTACAATCGTTTACCGGTACATCACAATAACACAATTAAAGGACCAACATTTAAGCATTTCGTGTGATGAACTTAATTTTTTACTCCTAAAATAAGTAGTTTTGATTAGGTTTTAAGGACGCCTTATAGTTTTTTCTTGTTAATTTTGTTAACCAATTAAATAAACTACTACTTGAGGCTCTATAGAGCCTGTGTCGCTCAGCCAGGTCTATTTGCAACTTCAACGATGGACACTCTCCAAAATTGTAGACTAAAATGTAATTCATGAATAAAACTTCTTTTTTGTTGATTATGTATTTCTGATAATTTTTTCTGTTTACAGTTTATCTCTTATCTTCTATAGTTTTTTTCCAAAACACAAAAATGTTAAAGATCGTCATTTAAGGGCAGCAACTCCTATAAGAAGACAACGGACAATTTCATCTATGATGACCTATTTGCAGATCTTGTCTTTCTGATCATTTTTGCTTTTAAAGTTTCTATATATCTATTATAGTTTTCAAGATAATAGGCAATAAAATGCCCCGGCGGGGCGAAGCTTGATACGAACGCAGAGGTCGAACCCCGAACAGTTGGGGCAAGTATGGACACTACAAGCAAGCTTAATACAGCTCTGAATTATGAATGTGATAAAATATTTGACACAGCATAGTTTTCTGACACAGAATGAATGTGGTCAAAGAACTGAAATATTTGAAATTGGACTTTGACCTGTTATGGACCAATATCAAAAATCTAAATACACGGTTTGATTCAGCATATCCATGTACAACAAATATTTAATTTATCTATTTATCAATGGACAATATTAGCTAAGATTGCAAAGGGGTTCGCTTCATCAAAAAAAAAAAATATATAGCATTCTGAAAATTAAAATTATACAGAATAACAAACAAACCTACCACAAAGTTTTTCAAAAAATTTACCCCAAAAAAATGAAAAAAAAAAACATTTCCAAAATATCATTCATCATTAATACAATGTCTTTAAAATAAATCTATAAATTTTACCTTTAATAATTTTTTCAAAATATTTAATAATGAACAGTCAATTTCAGACTATATTAATACATAATTACTGAAATTAGAATTTGATGCATTATTATTTTTAATTATTAATCTACTAACAACTTCTATTAATTGTGCAATACAGCTCTGAATTTGAATTTGAATTTGTGAAAATGAAAATTCTAAACACACAGTTAGATTCAGCATATTAAAGAACCCCAAGAATTCAAGACATTTAATTAAGGCACTGGCTAAGGTTACATGGAAATGTAACAATAATAAAAATATTATTGTTACATTGGAGACTAAATTCCGGAATGCATGGTTGGGTAAGGACCTGATTAATTACGAATGTAACAATAATTATTGAGGCTACGGTTACATTGCGTTATTGTTACATGAAAAACAGCAATGTACGCTAGACTTATTAAACTTAAATCTTTTATAGTTTTGTTGCTTAATTCTTTCATATGTACTAAATAATACTTGTAATAATGATAAATAATAAATATTATTATTCAACAAATGGTGTTTAAATAGTTTTACGTATTAATGGTTTTGATGTTCTTAAAGATACTACTTCAGATTAGTAGTGCCAAAGACGAAAAATATAGTTCAATGGTTTGTTGTTGAGAACTCGGGCTGAGAAAAGTGTTCACTTCTAAGTATTTAACTGCACACCTACTACTTATTACTGTCATTATACTTTGAACAATGGATGAAGAGATTCCTATTGCCAATTTTGTTTTGGGTGAAAAATTTAAAACTTGGGATGCGTTTGAAACAAAACTGAAACAATACCAAGACACAAATTATGTATTGTAAATATAAATAAATGTCTTCAACTTTTATTATTTAGTACATATTACTAGTCCCATCGTACATTGCTGTTTTTCATGTAACAATAACGCAATGTAACCGCATCCCAAGTTTTAAATTTTTCACCCAAAACAAAATTGGCAATAGGAATCTCTTCATCCATTGTTCAAAGTATAATGACAGTAATAAGTAGTAGGTGTGCAGTTAAATACTTAGAAGTGGACACTTTTCTCAGCCCGAGTTCTCAACAACAAACCATTGAACTATATTTTTCGTCTTTGGCACTACTAATCTGAAGTAGTATCTTTAAGAACATCAAAACCATTAATACGTAAAACTATTTAAACACCATTTGTTGAATAATAATATTTATTATTTATCATTATTACAAGTATTATTTAGTACATATGAAAGAATTAAGCAACAAAACTATAGAAGATTTAAGTTTAATAAATCTAGCGTACATTGCTGTTTTTCATGTAACAATAACGCAATGTAACCGTAGCCTCAATAATTATTGTTACATTCGTAATTAATCAGGTCCTTACCCAACCATGCATTCCGGCATTTAGTCTCCAATGTAACAATAATATTTTTATTATTGTTACATTTCCATGTAACCGTAGCCAGTGCCTTTAATTAAACCCCAATGAAATTGGTCAAGAAATAAGCAATTTATACAAAGTATTAGAAAGGTATTCATTTGTATATGGCCCCTTTTTACTAAACGGTTATGGAATTAACCCCCAAAATCAATCCCAACATTCCTTTTTTGGTATGGAACCCGTGGTACAATTTCATAGAGATCCATTAACTTATACTCAAGTTATTGTACGAAAACAAAAAACTCCTAGTTTTTTTGCTCTTTTTTGCCCTGAATTCCTAAACGGTTTGGGCCATAACCCCCAACGTCAATCCCAACATTCCTTTTGAGGTATGGAACATTGTGGTACAATTTCGTAGAGATCCATACACTTATACACAAGTTTTTGCCCTGAAACAAGAAAATACCGTGATTGTTGCCCCTAATTCCTAAACAATTAGGACAATAACCCCAAAAAATCAATCCCAACCTTCCTTTTGTGGTATGTAACCTTATGAAACAATTGCATAGAGATCCATACACTTATAATCATGTTATTGTCTGGAAACCAAATGTCTTCCGAAGACGACGACGACGACGCTGACAACGTCATAACATTATATAAATAGACTGAAGATTTCGGTCAAGGTGAATTATTTGTAGATCTTCACTTGCTGATCTTTTTAACATTTTACATTTGTAACTATCTAACAATTATAGTTTTCAAGATAAAAGGTAAAACATTGGTAAACAAATCATCTTTTACGGCTACAAATCCTAAAAGGAGCCCGGGCAACTGACAATTTCGGCACTAATGACTTATTTGTAGATCTGGTCTTGCTGATTATTTTTGCTTTTTAAAGTTTCTATTAATCTATTCTAGTTTTTAGATAATAATCATCAATGCTAAAAAAATGGTAAAAATCGTCATTAAAGGCCAATAACTCGATTAAGGAGTTAACTGGCGATTCAGCCATGTTGACTTATTTGTAGATCTTGTCTTGTTGATCATTTTTGCTTATAAGATTATATCTATCTATTATAGTTGCAATATAAAAGGCAACTACGAAAAAAAAGTAAGGGCAATAACTCCTATAATGAGTCATTTGACAATTTCGGCTATATTTGACTATTTTTCTTATCTCGT